CATTCCTCCTCTGTGGTTGTAGGTGACTCTCGTAGTTCCCTTATGGCTCTAGAGTCCTTTAATCCTGTCCATCCGGTGGTCATCGAGATTCAACATTGGCTGTTTCTTATTTCTAGTAAATTTAAGTCAGTAGAGTTTTGCTGGGTTCCCAGCCATATTGGTGTTTCTTTCAATGAGCGTGCGGATGCTGCCGCTAAGGAAGCTATCCATTCTTGTCCCATCTCCCGTAAAGGTATTCCTTATTCCAACTTTTATCCTGTTATTCATTCCTCCATCCTTGCCCGTTGGCAGGGTTGTTGGTCCTCTGTGGTTAGTAACAAGCTGCGTACTCTCAAACGTAGTGTCCCCGTGGCCTTCCTCCTACCACCGTAACCGGCGGTGGGAAACTGCTTTGGCTCTGCTGCGGGTTGGCCATACTCGCTTAATCCACGGTCACTTAATGGAGTGCCGCCCTGCTCCTTATTGTCTGAATTGCGTTGTCCCTCTTACAGTTGTGCATATCCTTGTTGAATGTCCTGACTTCCAGGACGAGCGTGTGTCTTGCTTTCCGACCGTCCCTCGATGGAATTCTAGGTGAATCGGATACTTCTGATATCGTTCGCCTTACGCGTTTTTGTTCTCGTATTGGCATTCTTGGTGATATTTAGCGCCCTCTGATTATTTCGCACTTTGATGGTGCTACATAGCCTTCCTGGTTTGGTGCCTTCTTTTGATAATTACTTGCTTTCGATCAATAGTCCTGAAAATCCAAACCTATTTCTATATATTAAAATTTCTTTATTAATTTGTATCACTTCTGGTTCTAATTCAGGGATGGATTCCTGAACAAGAACGAATTCTCCGCTCTGTGCTGTGCTCTCTTCCAAAATGAGAAAGGAGAAACCTACCCCATCGAGACCACCATATTTGATGCCATCTTCACAATCTTTGACAACAAGAAGGTAAGTCGATACAAGCATAATCAACACCAATATTATCATCTTTCCACAGCCTCAGCAGGCATGGCACTTACCAACATTTCTAAATAACCACAAATATCACATTCTTCAATTAATATCAACACCTTGACAATAACCACTAAAAGTCACAATTACATATAGCATCAGCATCCACACGACCATCACCCATGGTCGCTAACTTCAGCAACGCCCTGTGGGGGGAATAATTTCCAACAAATATTTTCATATAATAATATAAATAAAACTTCTAAATATTATTTGGATTATTCTCCCTGCACATCCTTTGAGGGGAAGAACCAATAATGCTGGGACTACCTGCGATATGAATATAGTAATAGTAAATTTAACTTACAAATTCTGATCAATGAGTTAGTAAACTATAAGATTATAAATAAACCAAATCTTAGCTGTCAAGCACTACGGGTAGAATGCGCCAAACTTCCCAGCACCACTCAAATCCGGTTTATTCATGTTGACTGAGCAGACATATGATCCACCGCAGGTGATGATTCTCCTTCGTAGACAAACTTCAGTCTGTGAAATTAATAACATGTAATCTTCATTTGATTATAAATGTCTATGTTAATACACATTGAAAGGAGGATAGACTGATTAAGGGACTGCTTACTGATGTTTTTTGTTCGTCTCGTGGTGTAACGATTGAACCCCCAACATAACACTATAATATGGCACAAAATGTGTATACTGGTACTCAGCCCAACCAGATGCAGTGTCCTAAATGATGACTGAAGTCGTTCACAAAGTCTGGCGTCCGATAATGCTCCGATGTTCTCAAAAATAGACAATGAAACACAAGAACTTCGGGACACTCTCGAAAAGAAGTTCCTCTAAAATAGTCTAATAGGGGGTACAAGTGTTGTGTTGGTTGAAACGCCATGTAATCTCTGAAGAGTCAACCAACACAACACATGTACCCCCTATTAGACTATTTTACAGGAACTTCTTTTCGACGGCTCATAAAACGGAGGTAGGGGCCTGAAAGATATTGTCGATAGGAACGTTATCCCTACAGACAAAAATCAGAAAATACAGTTGACAATCTATATAAATAAAAATGTAAATGTTCGTTTGTTCTAAATCGCTAATCTCCGAAAGTTCTTAACTGATTGCTTTGAAATTTTCACACAACCTTCCATTCGCATCCGAGCGGGTTTATATATACATATTATATAGATGTCAAGTCTGTGATGGGAAAAAACGTTTTTTTTTTAAATTGTTTTTCTCATTTGTTTTTCATGGTAGGGAAATCTTTGAATCCACTTTACCAATTGCTTTGAAATTTTCACACAACATTGCATTCGAATAGGCGCATGATTTTATATACATACTATATGCATGCCACACCTGTGACAGGAAAAAACATGCTTTTTTTTTAAAAACGGTGCCATCTGTTGGATGTAAGAGCAACATACACTGTAATCTCAAAGTTCTTCATCACTTGCTTTGAAATTTTGAAACAACGTTCTATTCGAATGCACACGTCTTTTATATACCGACTATATAGATGCCACACCTGAGACAGGTAAAAACATGCCTTTTCAAAAACAGCGCCATCTGTTGCACATAATAGCAACTCACGCTATTCTAAATATGTTACGATTCCATTTCAATGTTTCCGATTGCATTGACAAATTGAATTTACATAAATTTCAATTTATTTTCATTTTGATTTTATTATTTTGTGACATTGCATTGAAATTGAGATGTGTTGTTTTCCATACCGTTCATTTTGTAAGTATAAGTATAGATGACACATCTGTGGTAGGTAAAATCATTTATTTTTTAAGAAACAGCGCCATCTGTTGCACGTAACAGCAACACACACACACTATACTAAATTTGTTACGATTCCATTTCAATGTTTCTGAATGCATTGACAAATTTGATTGATTTTTTTTATTTTTTTTTGTGTGTGACATTGCATTTGAATTGAGCTGTGTTGTTTACCATGCAGTTCATTTCATGAGTATAATTTTTTTTATTTTTTTTTTTTAATTAATTTTTCTAACTTATTTCAGGGATGGGAACATCAGATCATTTGATGTTCCCAATTTTCTGATGGGAACATCAGATCGTTTGTTAATGCATTGAACGAGGAAGTGGGGAATGATGGGGAGAACAAGGGAACAAGAGTGGGGGATGGTTGGGAGGAAGAGGAGACAGGGAAAAAGGGTAATAGTGGGGAGGACGAGGGAATGGGGCAGTTGGGGATGGTGTGGACGAGGGGAAAAGGGAATGGAGAATGGTGGGGAGGACAAGGGGACAGAGGAGTGGGTGTTGGTGGTAGGGAAGAGGGAATGAGGGGCTGGAGGAATGGTAGAGAAGACCAGGGGGATGGGGGATTGGGAGATGGTGGGGAGAAGGAAGGACGGAGGAGTGGGGAATGGTTAGGAAACGAGCGGACACTGCAGTTAGGGATGGTGGGGAGGACAAAGGGACGGGGAAGGGGAAGAAGAGTGGGGAGGACGAGGTAATGGGGGAGTGCAGAATTGATGGAGGAATGAGGGAACGGGGGAAGGGGGAATGGTGGGGACGACTGGGAGACAGGGGAAGGTTGCTGAGCCACAGCATCGCGTGGCCGGGTACATCTAGTTTACTATAAAACAAAACAAAAAAACGCTAATCTACTCGTGAAAAACTCCCCAGACATCAAGCAGAACACCTTGAAGAAAACCATAGTCGTATATGCCTTTAAATGCCCACTTGGGGACTGTAAGCCTCAAAGAACTCAGTATATAGGCAAGACAATATATGAACATCTCTTGAACGTTTCTTTCCAAGCGATTAACAATATATAAACAGGGCTCTATCAAGGAACATATATTCTCCTCTCACAACCAGACCATCACCAGAGAAATCTTGACACACACAAATCATCGATAGGCACAGCGATAGCAGGCGGCTCGACATCAGCGAGGCACTATACATCAAAAACTCGACACCAGCAACCAACATCAAATTAATGCACAACTATATTCTACCCACTTCAAGACCCTGAACCAATATGGAAGCAACAAAAGGAAGTAGGGGCAAATAGGCCTTCTGCAGTTACTTTCATTCTTATGCTCTCATATCCAAGTTATACCCATTGTTTCGTATTCTGTCTTGTTTGTCACAAGTTTGTTTACCTCACCCAATAGAGTAAGTACAATGAATTTGTGTGTAAATTAAATCTTTGAAAATGTAATAAGCCATTACAAAACGCGTTCAGGCGTCAGACCATAAATAAAAACGAATTTTGGAAAATTGATTTTTCCATTACCACCGACAGTGAAGAAAAACATAAGAAATATTGAGAAAATTCGTGTTTGAATTATTAATCTTACCTTTTCGATCATAATCAATAACATATGTTTACAAGAAAGACTGCTACACACACACACACACACACAATATATATATATATATATATATATATATATATATATATATATATATATATATATATATATATATATATATATATATATATATATATGTCGTACCTAATAGCCAGAACGCACTTCTCAGCCTACTATGCAAGGCCCGATTTGCCTAATAAGCCAAATTTTCATGAATTAATATATTTTCTCTAATTTTTTGCTGATGAAATGATAGTTACCCATTTCATTATGTATAAGGTAATGTTTTTTTATTGGAGTTAAAATTGACGTAGATATATGACCGAACCTAACCAACCCTACCTAACCTAACCTAACCTATCTTTATAGGTTAGGTTAGGTAGCCGAAAAAGTTAGGTTAGGTTAGGTAGGTTAGGTAGCCGAAAAACAATTAATTCATGAAAACTTGGCTTATTAGGCAAATTGGGCCTTGCATAGTAGGCTGAGAAGTGCGTTCTGGCTACTAGGTACGACATATATATATATATATATTAGTATATTTTGGTTGCAGTCTTTCCTGTAGACATATATTATTAAATATGACCGAAAAAGTAAGATTAATAATTCTAACACGAATTTTCTCAATCTTTCGTACATTTCTTTTCACTGTTGGAGGTAATTCAAAAATCAATTCTCCAAAATTCATTTTTATTTCTAGTCTGACGCGACACGAGCGCGTTTCGTAAAACTTATTACATTTTCAAAGACTTTAGTTTACAAATACACAACTGAATAGAACTTACACATCTTCGATTTTGTTTATATCTACATTTGAGTGAGGTGGATGGGGTGAGGTGGCATTAATAGGGTATTAATTTCATCAACACAAGACAGAACAAGAGGTGGCATTAATAGGGTATTAATTTCATCAACACAAGACTGAACACGAAACAATGGGTATTGAAATGGAAGTGATTGTAGAAAGCCTATTGGTCCATATTTCTTGATGCTTCTATATTGGAGCGGAGTCTAGAGGTGGGTAGAATATAGTTGTGCATTAATTGGCTGGTGTTGACTTCTTAATGTGTAGTGCCTCGCAAACGTCAAGCCGCCAGCTGTCGCTGTATCTATCGATGATTTCTGTGTTGTTTACTAGGATTTCTCTGGCGATGGTTTGGTTGTGGGAAGAGATTATATGTTCCTTAATGGAGCCCTGTTGCTTATGCATCGTTAAACGCCTAGAAAGAGATGTTGTTGTCTTGCCTATATACTAGGTTTTTTGGAGCTTACAGTCCCCAAGTGGGCATTTGAAGGCATAGACGACGTTGGTCTCTTTTAAAGCGTTCTGCTTTGTGTCTGGAGAGTTTCTCATGAGTAGGCTGGCCGTTTTTCTGGTTTTATAGTAAATCGTCAGTTGTATCCTCTGATTTTTGCCTGTAGGGATAACGTTTCTATTAACAATATCTTTCAGGACCCTTTCCTCTGTTTTATGAGCTGTGGAAAAGAAGTTCCTGTAAAATAGTCTAATAGGGGGTATAGGTGTTGTGTTAGTTGTCTCTGCAGAGGTTGCATGGCGTTTCACTTTCCTTCTTATGATGTCTTCGACGAAACCATTGGAAAAGCCGTTGTTGACTAGGACCT